AATTTATTAAGCAAAGGCATTTGCCCATCGTCTGATTGCTGACGATTCACTATGGAAACCTGGTTCCTTATCCTCACCGCCCTCTGCGTCTCCTTCCTCCTCAAAGCCCTTCTTTCTCTATTCCTACCCACTTCCATCTCCAAACCCAAGCCCCCTCCTGGGCCCCGCTACATCCCCATCATCAGCACCTTGTTATTCCTCCTCAAATCCTTCTCGGAGCTCGAGCCTATCATCCGCAAACTACAGGCCAAACACGGGCCCATCATCTCCCTCCGCTTCGGCTCCCGCTCCGCCGTCTTCATCGGCGACCGCTCCCTCGCCCACCAAGCCTTAATCCAGAACGGTGCCGTGTTCGCCGACCGCCCCCGGGCCTTGGCCACCAACGAGTACGTCAGCAGCAACCAGCACAACATCAGCTCCGCCCGATACGGCCCCACTTGGCGCCTCCTCCGCCGCAACCTCACTTCCGAAATCCTCCACCCTTCCCGCGTCAAATCATACGGCAACGCCCGCAAATGGGTTCTCGACATCCTAGTCAACCGCCTCAAAACCGAGTCTCAATCCCAGTCCGAATGCGGCGGCGGCGGTGGTGTCAGGGTGGTCGACCACTTCCAATACGCCATGTTCTGCCTCCTGGTTCTGATGTGCTTCGGTGACAAATTGAACGAAGAGCAAATCAAAGAAATCGAGCGCGTTCAGCGCCAACAACTTTTGAGTTTCGGGCGGTTCAACATCCTCAATTTCAAGCCGAAATTGACCAAGATTCTCTTAAAAAATCGGTGGCGGCAATTCTTCAAAATCCTCGAGGAACAACGAGAAGTGCTCGTCCCTCTGATTCGAGCACGACAAAACAGGGCAAAACAGGGCAGCAAAAACGATGACAAAGACGATGAATTTGTGTTGTCGTACACTGATACGCTGCTGGACCTCGAGCTTCCCGACGGCAACGAAAAGCGGAAGCTTTCGGAGGGAGAAATGGTCAGCCTCTGCTCAGAGTTTCTGAACGCCGGCACCGACACGACTTCCACCGCACTGCAGTGGATCATGGCCAACGTAGTCAAGTACCCACAAGTTCAGGAGAAGCTGTTTGCGGAGATTAAAGGGGTTATGGGGGAAACGGAGGAGGAGGTGCGGGAGGAGGTCCTGCATAAGCTGCTGTATCTGAAAGCCGTGATCTTGGAGGGGCTGAGGCGCCACCCGCCGGGGCACTTTGTGCTGCCGCACGCGGTGACCCATGACGTGGTTTTGGGCGGACACCTGGTGCCCAAGACGGGGAGTGTTAATTTCATGGTGGCGGATATAGGGTGGGACCCGCAAGTGTGGGAGGACCCCATGGCGTTCAAGCCGGAGAGGTTCTTGGGCAGCGGCGGAGAAGAAGAAGGGTTCGATTTGATGGGGAGTAGGGAGATTAAGATGATGCCGTTTGGGGCAGGGAGGAGGTCCTGTCCTGGGTCTGGATTGGCGGTGCTTCACCTGGAGTACTTTGTGGCGAATTTGGTGTGGAAATTCGAGTGGAGAGCTATGGACGGAGATGACGTGGACCTGTCTGAGAAGCAGGAGTTTACTATGGTGATGAAGAATCCATTGCAAGCCAACTTAATCCCAAGAAGTTGATGTGTGCGAGAATTCTGTTTTAATTCTTCGACGCATGTTTAGCTGTTAAACTCGTATGATCTTCATTGATTATCTAATCTCGAATATTTGGGTTTTTAGTTTGCTTATGTGATCCAACGCAGATTTTATAATTGAATATAAACATATCCTGATAAAAATTAATTATACGATTTACGATGAACGGATGTGATTTAAAGATTTCCGAAATGATCTTGCGAGAATCCTCCCTTCTGTATTTGGTGAGTGACTTGGGTGAGCTGTCATTGCTCCTTGCTAGTCACTTCTCAAATCTCTTCCTCTTCTTTTACTGTTTATTTAGAGACCGCCCAACAGCAAAGAGTATTTGAGAATTGATGAGAAGCCTACATAGGTACAAGTCTCATTTAATCTTGGTGTTACAGCTTAGCTGATGGTTAATTTGAAATCCAAGTTAATTGCGGGTCTGAATAAATTGGATGGAGTAGTGTTTTTGTTTTCAACTGTTCATATATATGGAAATGGAGGAATAAGCAACTCTTTGAAGCCAACTTCGCGAGCGCAAGGCTGCGGAGGAATGGTATGACGCCTCTCATTGTGTGTGCTCTAATGTTCTTAAGATGCAAGTGTCTTTGGCTTGGGATCCACCCACTCCACTGCAGGGAGGGTGAGGCTTAATGTTTACGGTTTTCGGATCGATGCTCCTAGAAATATAGATAGATGAGGAGTTTTTTGAGATAACATCGGTGATTGCCTTGGAAGGTTTTTGTCAACTTGGGCAAGGGGCAAGCGATCGATGCTGATGTTTGGGGGCTAAATTTTGGACTAAAACTTCCAGTTGACAATAGTATATAAAGATTGTGCGGAGATGAATTCCGCTTTAGTGGTTAATTACAACTGATACCAATTTCATTCCCTTGGAAACATCAGTGCAGACAACTTATGACACGTATAACTGAATGTGAGTTAGTGCATGTCTACCAATAGAAGAACATGATGACAAATAAAATTGTCAACTGGAGCTATGTTATGGATCTTGAGTACCATAACATAGCTTCAGTTGACAATTTTATTTACTTTTGTATTTACTTTTGGCTTCACTCGATTGAATTCAATCAATGGATTACAATTCGAAAATAGAAGGTTAGGCAAAGCAACGAGTGGAGAAGAACCCGTTAATTTATCAGATGTTCATAATGAGGTTGAAGGGATTTTTAATGATATTTCAGTATTGTAATATTTTCGATATTTTAACTGTGAAATTTTTAGTTAAAAATATAAAAATAAAAATTTAAAGATTAAAAAGCTAGTATCTTATACTCTATAACACATTAGTTTGTCGAAAAAAGTAGTAGAAAGATGAGATATAATTTGCAACAACATCGAATTATTTTGCGTATTAATTAACGAAAATGTTGCAAAACCTTTAGATGTGATTTTACTGTTTATTAGGTCTCGGACAATTGTAATGCCTTCATCATCCCATTTGAAACTCATAGGTATTGATAACCCACGGAATAACTCATTGGACACGACAAATGTCGAACTGTTGTCAGCTCTTTGAACAGAGATTTGTATATACCATTATGCTTCATCATATTAACATTTCACCAGCTGCCTCAGGTTGGTGGTGATATAAGGATGGAAAACTTGATGAAGGCGCTGCTAGTTTGATACTCGACATGAGGCCTTCAAAAGTCGTATCGACTGAATTGGTCGTAAGTAGAAGTCTGCTAAATTAGTTTATAGTTTTATCAATCTTGACGTCAACTGAGACTATGTTCCATCTCTAATTCAGGTTCATGAAGTGTGCATTGTTCGGGCACTCAACAAATTGTGATCGAAGGCCCCTTGTGTGAGGATTATTACAAGATTCGGGAGTATATATCTCAACTCCGTTCGAGTGAAATTTCGATAAAATCAAGGGAGAGACTGAGAGCATGCGAGCAAAAATGGAGGGATATGAAGAAGTTTAGGTATGTTGAATGGTTTATGGATTTGCAGAGATAGAGAAATGAGAGATGGAGGAACTTGGTGGGTTTCAGTTTGGAATCGAAGAAGGGAGAAGGCTCTAGAAGGTTTCAAAATGACGAAGCGAGAGGGCCGAAGGGAAATTGCCAAGTTTGTTTGAAATAGGCTCTAGAAGTTTTCATTGTATTATAGGAATGAGCCCATTCATTCATCCAAATTGGTGGGTTTCTAATCCCCCAGCAATGCCCAACCATTGTATAATAGAAAAGGGTCGGTCTCGGGCCCCGTGGGTCTGAAGATTTGGAATTGCCCCATCCTGGATATATCACCTTCCCGTCCCGCCCCGTTCCGCCCCGCCTCATTTACTCTCTAAAAAATTTGGACCCGCCGCATACCCGGCCCGAACCTTGATTACCCACCCTGACCCACGAGTTCTCTACCTGTTTCGCCACCCCTACCTTGAACTATCTCCTCCGTAAAAATTAGGTTCTTGAATTATTTTTTTCGGCAAAAGAAGTCCCTAAATTCATTACAAATTGCTAATTTCATCTCTATTATTATATTCAAAGGTATTTTATCCAATGTTTCGTCAACTTAAGTCACTTGACACATTTTAAAATGTAATACCGTCATTTTCTCACCTATAAGCCCTTACCATTTCATAATCTAATGTCTAATTTACCCTTCAAAGTTAACTCCACATACAATTCTTTGTGAAATTTACCAATCTACCCTCTAATATGCATCATATGCAAGTAACGTAACTTAAAATTGACAGAAAATTGAATATAGTAGATTCGAATCTAATATTAGAGATATGATTGACAGATTTTTATAATTCAATGACTGATTTTTCTAAAAAATTAGTTTAGGGACCTAATTTTTACTTAGACGATAATTCAGAATTAAATTAGCAATTCACCCCATTGTATATAACAACTTGAGATGAACTGTCACCTAATCACAATGTTAATTTTCAGTGAATTCACGAAGCACAATAACGTTTTATTTGAATGTGACTTATTTTCGGCTGAAGTTGTCAATCTGTTCACGTATTTCATGAAAGAAACAGAACATGTTTGATGAGTGAGAGGCCCGTGCGTGTTAACGTAAAATAGTACCAAAGACATTACATCCGTACGTAAACAAAACATTGCATGCGAATTACCTTTTTCACGTGGTAACATATATGTGGTTGAGTTCGGATTCTCCTAAAAATTAGGTCAAACACTAAGGACTATGTTTTCTGACACATTGAGAATATTAGCAGAAAATAAAACTAATGGATCACAAAAGGGATTCTGTTCGTTCCTCTTAATTCATTAAGTTTAAAGATTTAGATTGTTAAAACTTAATTCAACAGGAATTTATTATAACTTTTAAAGTGAGTTCTTATTTATAGCTGTTGGATCAAATTTTAACGATTCGGATCCTGAACTTGATGAATTAGAAAAAAGAGATCCGGATCATTTTCCAATAGATAATTATCCAACAGCTTTGATGATCTCCGCATCAGTACAGTGTTCGTCAGCAAATCAATAATTCGTCGGTATTTTCTTCGTCACCACGCTATTTTCATCTCTTTTCTTGCTCACCAGGATTTCTTCATCTCTTTATATAGTTGTGGAAAATTAATAATTTATTGTCTGATTGCTTACAGTTCACCATGGAAACCTGGTTCCTTATCCTCATTGCCCTCTGCGTCTCCTTCCTCCTCAAACCCCTTCTTTCTCTATTCCTACCCACTTCCGTCTCCAAACCCAAGCTCCCTCCCGGTCCCCGCTCCATCCCCATCATCGGCGGCTTCTTGTGGATCCTGAAACCCTTCTTGGAGATCGAGCTTATCATCCGCAAACTCCAGGTCCAATACGGGCCCATCATCTCCTTCTCCATCGGCTCCCGCTCCACCGTCTTCATCGCCGACCGCTCCCTCGCCCACCAGGCCTTCATCCAGAACGGCGCCGTATTCGCTGACCGACCTGGGGCCTTGGTCACCAACAAGTACACTACCAGTAACCAGCACACAATCGCCTCCGCCGGATACGGCACTACGTGGCGCCTCCTCCGCCGCAACCTCACCTCCGAAATCCTCCACCCTTCCCGCGTCAAATCCTACGGCAACGCCCGCAAATGGGTTCTTGACATCCTCGTCAACCGCCTCAAAACCATGTCTCAATCCCACTCCGAAGGTGGCGTCGTCGGTAGTGTTAGGGTGGTCGACCACTTCCAATACGCCCTGTTCTGCCTCCTCGTTCTAATGTGCTTCGGCGACAAATTGAACGAAGAGCAAATCAAAGAAATCGAGCGGGTGCAGCGCCAACAACATTTGAGTTTCCGGCGGTTCAACATCCTCAATTTCAAGCCGAAATTGACGAAGATTTTCCTAAAAAATCGGTGGCGGGAATTCTTCAAAATCCTCGAGGAACAACGAGAAGTGCTCGTCCCTCTGATTCGAGCACGACAAAACAAGGCAAAGCAGGGCAGGAAAAACGACGACAAAGACGATGAATCGGTGTTGTCGTATACCGATACGCTGCTGGACCTCGAGCTTCCCGACGGCAAAGAGAAGCGGAAGCTTTCGGAGGACGAAATGGTCAACCTCTGCTCGGAGTTTCTCAACGCCGGCACCGACACTACTTCCACCGCGCTGCAGTGGGTCATGGCTAACATAGTAAAGTATCCGCAAGTTCAGGAGAAGCTGTTTTCAGAGATTAAACGGGTTATGGGAGAAACGAAGGAGGAGGTGCGAGAGGAGGTCCTGCACAAGCTGCCGTATCTGAAAGCCGTGATCTTGGAGGGGCTGAGGCGCCACCCACCGGGGCACGTTTTGTTTCCGCACTCGGTGACGCATGACGTGGTTTTGGGAGGACACCTGGTGCCCAAAAACGGGACAGTCAATGTCATGGTGGCGGATATAGGGTGGAACGCGCAAGTGTGGGAGGACCCCATGGCTTTCAAGCCGGAGAGGTTCTTGGGCAGCAGCGGCGGAGAAGAAGGGTTCGATTTGACGGGAAGCAGGGAGATTAAGATGATGCCGTTTGGGGTGGGGAGGAGGTCCTGTCCTGGGGCGGGGTTGGCGGTGCTTCATCTGGAGTACTTTGTGGCGAATTTGGTTTGGAAGTTTCAGTGGAGGGCTGTGGAGGGAGATGACGTTGACCTGTCAGAGAAGCAGGAGTTTACTGTGGTAATGAAGAATCCATTGCAAGCCCACGTAATCCCAAGAATTTAGTGTGTGTGAGAATTCTGGCATAATTCTTCGACGCATGTTCATGTCAGGAATTAGTTTAATTAACTATCTATTAATGTTTAATTATCTGCAAATAAGTAGTCAATTCAGATTGTCTACAGATAATTAGGAGGTATCTCGTTTATTAATCATGGGATTAATTGTTGCATGGTTTAGCTATTTTTATTATTTCTACGTGTATTTATGTTGAAGTTTCGGTCAAGGAATAAACATCAACCAATTTTCATATTCTCGAGCTTTCAATTCTAGTCATTAGTTTCCGACAGTCCAGTCGTTAAATTTACCAATTTATTCTTTACATTGATCAAGTAATCTTGAAATCTTGGGTTTTTGGTTCACTTTTGTAATTAAAGACAGATTTTATAATTAACTTTTGTATTTAGTTTGTGAGTGATTTGAGTCACTCTTCAAATCTCCTCCTCTTTTTTACTCTTTTATCGTATGACTAATACGATTTTCAAGAGCTTCCAAAGCCGTCTTCTTGTTTAGTTTAAACTCTCTTTTTTTCGACGATTGAAATTGACAAAGTTAGACTAGTTGTTGCTTAGTGTTTCTTCTCTTTTTCTTCCATGTTACCGGAAAATAAAAATACAACTTCCATTGATTTAAGTACATTTGGTGAAGAAAACAGTTTTAATAACAAACGGAGGATCACACAATTTTTTGGTATTCTTCAACACACGCATAGAAGTATAGAATCGCAAAGTGTTAGGTGAATCACAGTATTATTTACTAAGACGAGAGATTTTGCTTAGCCACATAATAAAATAACAAGAACAATTTAACATAGAACTCACCATCATGTTTTGGTCTCTGGATTGATGATTGCACGTGCTAAAATTCCAGTACTTCAATTCACAATAGGGTAGGGTTAGTCAACCTCCTTCCTTCGACCTTATATAATACTATGGAGATAAATTTAGAGATTAAGTTTGCAAACTAAATAATGTGTCATTAATAAAAATAAATACGTTTATCAACGTTTAAGTAATAAATCAATCGTCAACTTCCATGTTTCTTAATTTTTAAAATTTTATCTACAAATTCAGTTTCTCTAACATTACTCTATATAATAAAGGTAAAAGAGAGAAAATCATTGAGTTTTGGAGATGAGGACAATCTAGCAGGGAAATTTGCTTTTTTGTGAGGTAAATTGCTTTTGCAAAGGTAGAGTGTGTGTGTGGTAAATAAGAATCATGTTTTTTTATGGAAAAACATGTTCATAAACAATCACGCGAGGTATCGTGTTCAATAATATATTGTCGTTTTTAAAATTTTTCTTTGCAATGCAATATTAGATTACAACGTGTTGCCCTCTACAATTTACATAGACTTGACACCACCACCACGATGATACAAAAGTTGTATAGCCGTACCATAAAATTCTCCTCAACAAATCAAAATGAAGAAATAGTTGTCCTTCAATATTACGATGCAGTGATATTCTTCATAGTTGTCATTTAGTATTACGGTGTAGTAATATTTTTCTTTAATTATAAGTGAAAGGTTTTAGGTTTGATTCTCACAAAATACGAATTTGAACCATATTATTGCTAACTTATTGTGATGCTAAACTCACCTTCTCCCCTAATGTAGATGAGATCGTTTGTTTAAAAAAAAAAATTATGGGAAAGAGATAACACTTCTCTAGTTTTTTTTTTTTTTTTGTCTCAAACGATAATTTTTGTTAAATAAGATGTTAAATTATCTACCGACCAACTTTGAATTCACATCGTCGTACAATGACCCAACGACTTTCTCCTAACGTATTAAAAGGCCACTTTGCAATTACACTTCCCTTGTTGAGTCCGTCAATAGATCATAAAATTAAAATACGACCCAAAAAATTAAAAAGACAATAAACTTAAAATATTATGAAAATCAAAGAGTGTCTGTCTCTTCCTTCCTCCTCAAATCCAAAACCTTCGAAATCACACCCATTTCTCTGCAATTCAATCTTCTCTCTCTGCAATTCAAGCTCGTAAAAACCCTAATTTCAACTTCCCATACCGAAGCTTTCCTCTCTCTCTCTCTCTCTCTCTCTCTCTCTCTCTCTCTCTATGTGTTTCAATTGGGTGTAATTTCCCCCAATCCGACACCAGCAGCAGTGAATTTCCATGGCGACTGTGACTGCAACGTGCTCTCCGAGCTCCCTCCAGATTCGCTTAGCTTTCAATTGCGGCAATTGCTGTAAACCCTCCTCCGTTCTCGTACGGTGGCGACTGGGGAAGCTCGATCATCGGGCTCGAGTGCTCTGCGTTGCTCAAGGCAGTGAGAGGTCCGGGAGTGGATTGGAGCCCCGTCGCAATGGGGGTTCGTGGGTCGGGTCGAACTCGATCGCTGACGGGTTTAAAGGGTGGTCCGATTCGGATAATGGGGAAGAGTCATTGGACTCGCAGAGGAAGAAATGGTTTGGAGGTCATAATTGTTCGACTCTATTGGATTGACGTTTTCTTATCAGTTATGCTTTGTCTGGCTGCTAACATTTGTGGAGTAGTTTGCTCTCAGGGACTGTGGGAGCTGGAGTTGCCGGAGTCGTTCTTGTTGCGGGGCTTACTTTTGCAGCATTGTCTTTTGGAAAACGAAACAATTTGAGTAAGTTGCTGCCTTATTTCTTTCGATAATCGGCAAGCTTTGAATTGGACTGGAAATTCAGTGGTGTTAATGGAAATGGAAGTGTTTTGTATATTCTTGCTTTGTTTTGGTTTTGTGGAAGATCATGTGTTTTAGGGAACAAGTTTGCCTTGAGTTGTAATCGACGTATTTTTAGTTTTTGGCTAAATGTTAAAACATATGTGGATGTGTTCAGGCCCAAAACAACAGATGGAGCCATTAACGACGCAGCAGGAGCGGTCTTTGACTTATGATGATGACAATGAGAGGAGTACAGAAGATGTGGATGATCAAAGCAATGTGAAGCATGATGCTAATAGTAGTCCGGAAGAAAGGACAGGTACTAATGAGGATTCTTCTTCATCTCCAGAAATTGATGAGTCTCCCAGTGAAATTAGAGTTGGTAATGATTATGATATAGGGGGCTTGTCAGGACAAGATTTTGAAAAAACATCCAGAGGTACTGAGGTGGTTAATAGTGCTTCCGATAAAGGAGATACGCCACATGAATCAACTTCTGATGACAAGTCAGTTGAGCCTGACGGCAATGATTCAATTCGTGCCTCTGGGCTTGAGGATTTTGACAGAAGCCTCGCTGTAGGTATAGGAGATTTGGCTTCTGAACTTAAAGAGAACCTAGAGAGTGTCAAACCAACCAACTTGCAAGCCTCTGAAACTAATCGGTCAAACCCTAGCATTGAACCCCAGGATGGAATACTGGGGACAAGTGAAAACCAAACTGCCACTTTTGAGTCTTCTACTTTTATTGCCGATGCACAGGAACTTAATCAACCGATAGCTCTGGATACATCGGTTAGGACACAATCAAGCACAATTTTAGAACCTCAGGTTTCATCTGAAGATAACATAGGGCCTGTAACCCCATCTTCAACCGAAGAAAACCTTGACCTCAGCAAAACACCGCAGGTTTTAGCTGAGGGAATTAGTTCATCCCTCGAAGGGAATACCATAGCTGAAAGTGAGCCGTCTAGAAGCAAATCACAATTACCAACTGCTGGGAATTCCTTCTCTTCTGCTGGAATACCTGCTCCAACTGTGGTTTCTGCAGCTCTACAGGTGGTTCCTGGAAAGGTTTTGGTTCCGGCAGTTGTTGATCAGGTCCAGGGGCAGGCATTAGCAGCGCTGCAAGTGTTAAAGGTACTGACATTGTCATGTTTTGCTTTTAATTTCCTTATCCCAAAGTTATTGGAGGATTTTTTTTTATTTATTAATTCCAACTGTTACTGTATTTGATTCCTTAGATTCGACAAATTTTGAAATGGAAATCTTTGACTCAAATATCAACGTTGTTCTCATTAGTTTATAGTTTTGTTTGTAAGATGTTGAGCCAGTTTGTAATCTGTAATTTGAATATGACAATGGCTTTCAGGTCATAGAGGCTGATGTTCAACCTGGTGATTTGTGTACACGGCGTGAATATGCCCGTTGGTTGGTTTTTGCAAGTAGTGCTCTTTCAAGGTATACCTCCTTCGTCTCTGTGATATAAATCTTGGCAACATATTTTCTGTTTTGCAATTTGTGATGCATAGTATAGGTCTACACTTTTTGACATATTTTCTTGGGGTTAACTGTAGGAACTCAATCTCTAAAATATATCCTGCTATGTATATTGAGAATGTTACTGAGCTTGCATTTGATGATATTACACCTGAAGACCCTGATTTCCCATCCATTCAAGGTTTGAGCATGTTAGATTTTTTTGCTATAGCCTAAGAGACAGTGTGAATAGGCTTTGTGTGTTTATTATTTCCTTGCATCCATTCAGGTTTGGCTGAAGCAGGACTTATCTCAAGCAAGCTGTCAAGAAATGATATGTTTTCTTCCTTGGATGAAAATGAAAGTTCATTTTACTTCTCTCCTGAAAGGTAGTATATTCGATTCCTTGTAACATAGTGTCCTCTTTAGTGTGTTGTTTCCTTAAAATCACTTGGCGTTATTGGATTTGTGTGTAGTTCCAAATACGCGGGGTTTACCTCCTCCAAACCAATTATCCTGGCCGTTCACAATTGAAAATTTGACAACTACATCATTGCATGGTCTCTTTACTTTTGGAAATTAGTTGCTCTAGTTGTGAGGGCGTACAGTTTTTTTTTCTCTCCAGTAACTTATCTGTATTTATTTAATATGTTTCTCTGCTCACATTTAAATGTATCTTCGATTTACTGAATTGAGGCTAAATTACTTAGTTTATGGTTTTTCTTATTTAGTGGGTTAAGGCTTTGTTGTTGTTGTTTGTGTGGTTTTTCTTATTTGCCTTCTTTTTTAATGTAATTTCTTGCTGCAGCCCTCTATCACGCCAGGATCTTGTAAGTTGGAAGATGGCCCTAGAGAAAAGACATCTCCCAAAAGCCGACAAGGAGGTTGTTAACAATATAAGTTTGTTTTCAGTTTTGTTGTTTTTGAGCTACTCTTGTGCTTGTAGGCCTCAATCGTTAGTTCTATATTTATTATTTTTCATTTGGACAGGTCCTCTACCAAATTTCTGGTTTTATAGACGCTGATAAGATACATCCAGATGCATGTCCTGCACTTGTTGCTGACCTATCTGGGGAACAGGGTATTATTGCTCTTGCATTTGGTGAGTCATGACTCGTAACTATATTTCTAATTTTAACAGAATTTTATGGGTTTGATAGTCCACATTTCCTTCTTTTTTGTTTTAAAGGTTACACCAGACTCTTCCAGCCGGATAAGCCAGTAACAAAAGCCCAGGCTGCTATTGCCCTTGCAACTGGAGAGTATTCAGACTCGGTGAGTGAGGAGCTTGCACGTATTGAAGCAGAATCTATAGCAGAAAATGCTGTGGAGGCACATAATGCTTTAGTGGCCGAAGTTGAAAGGGATGTGAACGCAAATTTTGAGAAGGATCTTTCCATGGAGAGGGAAAAAATTGATGCTGTGGAGAAAATGGCTGAAGAAGCAAGACGTGAATTGGAAAGGTTAAGATCCGAGAGAGCGGAAGATAATATTGCCTTGATGAAAGAACGTGCAGCTGTTGAATCAGAAATGGAAGTTCTGTCCAAGTTAAGGCATGAGGTGGAGGAACAGTTGCAGAGCCTAATGAGTAACAAAGCAGAGATATCCTATGAAAAAGAAAGAATTAGCAAACTTAGGACTGAAGCAGAAACCGAAAGCCAGGAGATTGCACGCCTACAGCATGATCTAGAGGTTGAACGGAAAGCCTTGTCCATGGCCAGGTATTTAGCTTCCAAGTCTTATGTATCTGTTTTGTTATTTTCACGCAACATTCTAAGACTTTAATCTTTGTAATCCAGGGCTTGGGCTGAAGATGAGGCAAAAAGAGCAAGAGAACATGCTAAAGTACTCGAGGAGGCTAGAGATCGCTGGGAGAGGCAGGGCATCAAGGTAGTTGTTGACAATGACCTCCGAGAAGATACCTTGGGTGAGGCTACATGGCTCGAGGCTGGCAAGCAGTTCTCGGTTGAAGGAGCTGTCAGCAGGGCGGAGAATTTGATGCATAAGCTTAAGGCACTAGCAACAAATATAAAAGGGAAATCCCGAGATATAATCGATCAGATCATCCAAAAGATAGCCTTGCTCATATCCAATTTGAGGGAGTGGATCCCCAAGGCAGGAAAAGGGGCTGCAGAACTAAAAGACGCCGCCATTTCAAAGGCCAGTAGATCAGCCCAAGAGTTGCAGCAAAGCACATCGGAGTTTAGCTTGGCCGTCAAAGAAGGTGCCAAGCGTGTCGCTGAAGATTGTAGGGAAGGAGTGGGGAAACTCACTCAGAAGTTTAAGACGTGACCGCGATCTCTTAACGATAAATTTTGGACGTCGGGCTGTTGTGTTGTCAGAAATGTAAAACAGTTTTGAGAATTTGTCGATGAAGGGCACAATCCATCTCCTAGGAGAATCTATTTATACCATTGATGATTAGCTAGGAAGCGTTTTGTAATAAGTACAATTACACATCTGAACTGTAATAAAATTGCCCCGTTACACTTCGAACGTAATGGTTAAATCCAAGAACAATGTAAATTATCATATCGTTTGGCTGGTGAAAACTAAATAACATAATAGTTTGCATTTGAGACCGTTGTATATGTAAATATGGTTGGTTTTTTTAGCCAAAATGGTTCTTTAAGATTGACATAACTTCTCACTTTGGTCTCTGAGATTTAAAATCGATAAAAATAGTTCCCGACATCCGACATCCGTCGTTGCCAAACATTTTGGTCATTTCAAATCAACTCCTTCACTTAAAGTGGTGATTTTTTCAATTTAATTTTTATATAAATACCAATTAACCGTAGAGAATGTCATCACAATACGTAAAGAACTTTGACGGCGGTAAAAAAAGTAGATGGACCACCGAGCACGTGAGACATGATATTCACGTGAGAGAAGGGTAGAGGAAAGAAATAACAGTGATGATTGGCCTTTACCGCGCACCTTCATCATGTTTCCACCCACTCCCATCTCTTCTCCAAGTAATCAAGAAACCCCAATGGGCATTGACTTGCAGGTACGACCTCCCTTCACACTCCCCCTTCGCTATTTCCTTCAAAATTCAATTTAATTTAGTACCAAATTTGTACATATAAGCAAAAACCACGCTTTAATTTTCATCTGAAAACGAAGTCTATGCTGGCAAATCTTTTGAAAATTATCGTGTCTTTGCCGTGAGATTCCAGTATTTGATCGAAACCGAAATATTGGTTTCTGGGTATCTGTTACGTTCTTTCTCTCTGCTTTTTCCTTTTTTTTTTTGGGTGTTTGCTGGATGTGGAAATTGTGATCGTTTCAGCTGCTGAAGATTTTTTATCAGTGCATCAAAATTCAGTAATGGTTGAGACCCAGTTGACCCAATCGAGCTTTTTGTCGAGTTTCAGCTTCTGGGTATGAAAAGATAGCAGCTTTGGTTCCATTTTTCAAGTATTCAATTTTGTGTAATTTGGGGTCAAATTATATAACATTGTGTTTGATTTGATGTGCTTCTACTGATAGTTCTTGTGAACATTAGTAAATGAATACCTGTATTGCGTTTGCGAAAATCCGATTAATGCTGTTGAAATGTCCTTGGGCATTGGTGTATTGTGAATTCTGAGTTTTGATGTGTCATGGTATGTTTAGATTGTAGGACTCAATGTCAATCCTATGGGGGTGTCCTATCCTTGAGTGTGTTTATTGTCTGGCATGTACCCGCTGGGCGTGGAAGCGATGCCTCCACACAGCGGGTCATGACAGTGAGACTTGGGGCATTTCCACTGCTGAAGAATTTGAGCCTGTTCCTCGCCTTTGCCGCTACATTCTTGCTGTTTACGAAGATGACCTTCGATGCCCTCTTTGGGAACCACCCGGTGGGTATGGAATTAACCCAGATTGTTTAATCTTGAAAAAGACATATGAACATACCGGAGGTCTAGCTCCTCCGTATATATTGTATCTTGATCATGATCATGCCGATATAGTTCTTGCCTTCAGAGGCCTTAACTTGGCAAGAGAGAGTGACTATGCAGTTCTGATGGATAATAAGCTGGGTAAGAGGAAATTTGATGGCGGGTATGTTCACAACGGGCTATTGAAGGCTGCTCAATGGGTCATGGATGCAGAATGTGAAATGTTGAAAGATCTGGTGGAGAAGTATCCAAAATATACTTTGACTTTCACAGGACACTCCCTAGGGTCAGGTGTAGCAGCATTGTTAACAATGTTGGTAGTGAAGAACATGGATAGGTTGGGGGACATTGATCGGAAGAGGGTTAGGGGCTATGCTATTGCACCGGCGAGGTGTATGTCATTGAACTTAGCAGTCAGATATGCGGATGTCATCAATTCTGTTGTGCTTCAGGCAAGTTTTTAGTCCCTCTCTTTGTTCTTATTTTTTAAATAAGCTTAAATGAGTATACATTTTATTGTGCTCCTGCAGCCTTAGATTTTATACTTATTAGCATCTTCTCTCTCATTGTTGTGTAAAATTTTCATCCCAAAATATTTTTCTGTGTTGGCGATGCGTGGAAGCTTGTTCATTTAGAAACTAAATAGCAAAATATTGCATCCACCACTATAATCTTTAAGTAGTAGTTCCGTCAATCCTTTTCGTAGGTTTGATTGTGGTCATTATGCTGGACCAGGATGACTTTTTACCGCGGACCGCTACACCGTTGGAAGACATTTTCAAGTCACTTTTCTGGTATAGATGGCTCTGATCACTCTTTTCAACCGTTGTTTGTTCACAGCCGAAGGCAAACTAATATGTTGAGAATTAATTAGGTGATAAATCAAAATTTTGGACTTTAATTTATCTGGATTAAAGTTGGATTTGATTTTTGAAACAGTTTGCCGTGCATATTGTCCCTACGATGCATGAGGGACACATGTATACCTGAGGAAAAAATGCTCAAAGATCCAAGGAGGCTCTATGCACCTGGCCGCCTCTATCACATTGTTGAGAGAAAGCCTTTTAGGTATTGTCTGGCATAGACTTATTTGATCCATACCATAAATTACCAAGAACAAGTTTTCACTTCTGTTCTTGCTTTTGTCAATGTGCGGTCGTCGTGCAATATGTAAAATTCTTTTGTAATCCTACAGGAAATATTTTAGACGTATATCCAGCCTTACTAACCACTGTATCTTTCTAATATGGATGTTATACAGTGGTACCTGGTATCAGCGGGATTTGCCACATCCACGTTGAACCAAAGATACAGCAGTTTCATAGATATTTTGCTGAGCAGGGAGTAACTTTTGATGTTATGTTGTTAAAAGATCTCCCATCTATATAATTTTGTTTGCAGGTGTGGAAGATTTCCGCCCGTTGTCAAGACAGCAGTTCCGGTGGATGGGAGATTTGAGCACATCGTTCTTTCTTGTAATGCCACTTCTGACCACGCCATCATTTGGATAGAGAGAGAAGCCCAGAGGGCTCTAGATGTAAGTTTTTAGCTCAAGTCTCAAGCAGATCATAAAGCTTAAAAAATCGTTGCCCGGTGTCTGAACCTCTGCTCTTGTTTCCCCTCCCTTCAGTTATTATTGGAGAAAGATCAGATCATGGAGATTCCGTCGAAGCAAAAAATGGAGCGGCAGGAGACGGTGGCCAAAGAGCACTCGGAAGAGCACAAGGCTGCATTACAGAGGGCTGTCACATTGGCCGTGCCTCATGCATATTCACCGTCTCCGTATGGAACTTTTGACGAGAAGGACGAGGAAGATCACCCGAATGGATCAAGCGGGGAGTCTTCGGTTGGTTCGACGAAGAAAAGCAAGTCATTCACGGCGCGGTTTTTCGTGAGAAAAGAATGAACAGAAGGGAGTGATTGTTGTTGTTATTAACTTATTACTGTTGTTTGATAAGTAGTGATCGATCATTACAGTAATTGTTTCGGTTACAAACATAGAGAAAAGAATAAATTTGCGACAAACTATAAATTCATTGATTCATAGGAAAACTAATGAAAATGACTTGAAAACTTTGAGTTTTAACGATAAAGACAAAATGAAGGGTAAAGTGAATAGTACCAGGATTGACCTTTTAGTGTAAAAATATGATTTTTCGTTAAAATGAACGTTATCAGGAGTTTTTCGTTAAAGTTCCCTTGATTCATTATGTGCTTTTTTTCTCAACCCAAAAGTTGTGGTTTTCTACGATGCCTAATTACATGAAAAGTTTAAATTTTGAGATTTAGGTAGTACAAAAATTAAATCATATTCATCTAATAACAATTAACGTAGTCGTTGAGCGTGTTTAAACAAAATGCACTCATGCATATGAAGCACTATATTTACAACAAATAGCAAGCGAGAAACTAGTCACAAAAGGTGTCAGTCATTGTAACGGTATCTCAAACCAATCACGATGTGTAATTAATTTGAGATGCTGACATGATGACTTGTTATAGGAAAGGTGGAGTCTTGTTTGGTAAAATATTGTTTTTAAGTAGAAATTGACTGCTTCAAAGTGTTGTACATTTAACAGAAAAGAAAAAAAGAAAGGCTTTAGTGCAGCTGAAGCAAGTAGTACCTCTCTCTCAGACTCTCAGGACAGGAGGTTCAGCTTCAATGGCTTCCCTTGCCTCGATCGTCCTTCTCCTGGCGGCGACGTCTTCCTTCTCCTGGCGGCGACGTCTTCCTTCGCCAGCTCTTCTGCCGAACGAAATGTAAGAACTTCATCTCAACTTTCATTTCACAAGCTCCATTTTGTTTCAGTAGCAGGAAGGAACTGAGGAGGAAGGAAACCAACCAAGAAACTGTAGTACATTTTGGCCACTCAGTTCGTTCCAACCGAATTGACCCGTCACGCGTTGTCCAACTATCCTGGCAACCAAGATCAGGTACATTGATGAATTTCTTATCGATGAACTGGCTGTTGTTGCTGTGGCCTTCGGTTCCTGAACTGGCTGACTTGATCTACCTTAGACATGTAGTGCTTTTCTTTGTCGTTCAGAGAGTAGCAAGGTCCGGTCTTGTTAAATTTCAGGTAGACGGACCATGGACCCACTCCAACAACACTGATACTGTCCCTACTTGATCACCTACTCAATCCGTCAGGTATGGGTTTCAGATAGACGGGTCATAGGCCCACTTCAACAACACCGATACTGTTCCCACTTGGTGTAGGTATAGGTGTAAGTTAGAGTGAGATAATTCTAGGGCTTTTTCTCAAGCCTTCGGCCACCGCCGATGTGGGACAGAGGAATTCTAACAGGCTGATTGTGGAAGGAGCAGCAACATACCGAGACCCGTTAAGGGGAACGCGATTTTGTTTTTCTCTCCTCATCCGAATGCATCGCCGGACAAGGGCAGTCCACATACCAGATGTCCTGTACTTGAAAGGGCAATGTGGTGTGCCACAAAATTCCTTCATGCAAAAGCCATTGCCTGGGAGGAGATCCTTTAGAAGCTTAAGCTTTTTAAGCAAGTTCGAAAGTGCTTGTGGGAAAAGCTAGTGATTTTGGATAATAAAAAACGCTTTGAACAGACGTTTGGTGGATAAAGTTAAAACTGCTTATCATTTTGGAAGTAGGTGCTACTTCTAGTCTAGAAAGTAATTTGGGAAGCACTTGACGTGCTTGTAATATAAGTGCTTTCAGCGGAAGTGCTTTCTAGACCAAAGCTTCAAACGATCTAAAGATAATGAATTATTACAAAAAAAAACCCAGATGGGTAAATGTTCAGATTACCAGAAACACTCAAAATTCCAACAAAAATTACAGACAAAATTCGAACCTGATGATCTACTGTACGGATTCAGGAGATTGATTTGGTTTCTTCAAAGAACATGAAGATTTGAAGGCCTCGATCTGCGACTGGCACTTGACGTAGTCGCCTTTGTTCTCCTCCAAGCATTTCTTCAGGGCCTCGACGTCGCACGCCGACGTTATCTTCTTCCTCTCGCCGTACTGTGTTTCCACCGCCCTCGATTCCATCGTTTCCGACGACTTCGATCCGATCGGTTGAAATTGAAGAATTTGTGAAACAAAAATGAAATTGCGTCCAAGAAAAGGAATGCGAACTCACTAAAACGCGGCGTTTGCTGTTTTCATTCTTTTTTACTCCTTATATTTTACACCCCCAAATTCTACGGATCATTCAAAATGGGCCTTGATGCTTCCTTTGGTTTTGGGCACAGCTCACCATTTTTCGGATTGAAGAAAATTTTCATTGTGACGAGAACACGGATGATACATTACGTGTTTTTATGTAAGTGATGAGAATTTTTTTTTTAAGTTATTAACCTTTTAAAACATATATCCCACAATTTGCATAGTGACACGTGATGTACCACCCCGTGTGCCGGTTACATTGAAAAATCTCTCTTTGAATTGCAACATGCACACTCTTGGTCGAATGTTGTAACAAATCAAGACGGGACGAATGGGAGCACATGGTGGCCGGGACAGTTTGAGACGAGCCTAGAGAAATTGGAATAAGACTTAGCTGCTGACATTTTCAGCAGGAGGTCCTGCTTACATCCAATCCCGGGTGGACATGTGTCCAAATTTTGATTTTTTTTAATCAAAACTTGGACACATGTCCACCCGAGATTGGATGTAAGTAAGACCTCCTGCTGAAATTTCAGCAACGAAGTAGCATCCAAGAAATTGTGTATCAGATTTCTAAGATCTTATTGTTGATAACATTACTAAAAGACGAGATAGAGACAAAAGTTGAAATGGGTCAACCTGTAAAGATCGATGATGTTTTATATATATATATTTAGTTTCGGTTCGGTTCAGGATTTCCGAACTATTGAATAGGTAATACTGAATCCTGTATCAAATGGTTTCGGATCGGTTCGGTATGACGTCTTGGAAATTTGGGGAATTTTGATCTGGGATTTTTTTAGTTTGGGATCAGAATTTTTTCGGTTTGGGAAAATTTTTCCAACCCTAATTGTAGCCGATTCGTTAGATGCATGTATTGTATTGTACCAATTCGACCCCGAAAGACGAAGTTAATATTAATTCAGTTTTTTGAGTTTGCCGCTGGAGGTTTTGGGCTGTTAATTAACATGTATAGGTGGGTACTGGATTGTTCTGTGTTGGCCCAATTAATGATTCGATTCGTATCCTTTTCGGGAAGGAGCGTGTAAGCGCGCCACGTCAGTAAAATTTGAATTCCCTCCCAAAAATTTTAACGGCTATTTTGCTGGCACTTGCCAAAATTATAAGAAAATCATAAATAAATAAAAAAACCAGAACCAAATCAAGGGATAATTCGTACTGCTCTCTCTCTCTCTCTCTCCATCTTCAATTCTACGATGGCGTCGTCTTTGTGCGACAACCCTGACCGCACCAAGACCCCAACGCGCTCCAAACCATCTCGGAAGGTCCGATTTGTAGCGAAAGTCAGGGGATTTATGGACGCAGAGGCCGAGTTTTCGAAGGGGGACTCTTGGATCTCCGTGAACAAGCCCAATGGAGAGGGTTCGGAGAGTGTCACTCTCTCTTTCAAAGAGCAGCAGCCTACAAGGTAACGTCGATTTCTGTATTGAATTCCTACTGATTCTTACTCTTTTGGGTTTTGTTACGAAATGAAAATTGTTAATTTTTGTGACGTGATTAAGTGTAAGGTCACAAGTTTTATCATCTACTTTGTGTTGTAGTCGTAAAGAATCGTATGAATTGGATTACTTCTACGACCAACACGAAGACAATGGCGTAATCTTTTCGCGAGAGGTGAAGCCTCTAATACCTGGAGTTCTTGGTGGTTGTAATGCCACTGTTGTTACATTGGGAGCAAGAGGCAGTGGAAAGACTTGCTTAATTCAGGTGGGGTGTATTTCTCCCCAATTTCCCCCCCAAGTTTTAGTCTTTTAACTATTTTTTTCTTTCGAAATAGCATGTATAGTGATGAGATGAACCACTTGATTTTGAAGGGTTCTGCTGAGAAACCAGGTTTGGCAGCTCTAGCAATGGCTGAAATTTTTTTGGCCGCGGAGAAAGATGGAAATTCCGTTAATATATCATCTTACGAGGTCTATCAGGACCATGTGTATGATATCTTGGATCCAGAACGACGACTAGTTTTGGTACAGGGTGATGCTCAAGGGAAAATTCGGCTTAAAGGACTTTCTCGGGTAAGTTATTTGTTGTTTGTTTTCAATCGAGATAGCAAGAGCGGCTTTCTATTGTGCATTGTTCATGAGTCATGACATATCTGTTCATACCTTTCCAGGTTCCCGTGAAATCGGTTTCAGAATTCTACAATTTATATGTAAGTGGGTGTGCTTCCTGTAAACGAGCACAAAAAGTAGCTACTGAACTTCCTCGTCGCGGCCACAAGGGCTTGATAGTGCATGTATCATCTCCTAGTGAAAGTTCAGATGCCCTTCATGTGGGAAAATTGAATTTTGTTGACTTGGCAGGTTGTATGTCTTTTTAACAACAGGCCAAACATGTTTCAGCCTCTTTTTTTCTTCTCGTTTGTTGTTTGTTTGACAATGTTATATAGGAAATAACTTTATTCAATCTGCCCTTAATAGGTTATGAGGGAACCCGTAGGAAAAGTGTCGATGGCCTTAATCTTGTGGAGACTAGTAAAATTCACAAGTCAATATATGCCATGTTGAATGTTGTTCATGCTCTACGCGCTTCTGGAAATCATGTACCTTACCGGGAAAGCAAACTCACACATTTATTGCAAGACTCCCTGAGTGGAGCGCATAGAGTTCTGATGGTCACTTGCTTGGTAAGAGTTGTTCGTTTGGTTGCAAGTTTTCTTTTTCTGGTTTATTGTTGTCTGGGAGCTTTGGTTGTCTTTTGACCTTAATTCTTTCTTTTTCAATGTAGAAACCAACATTTTGTCAAGATTCCATGTACATGGTAAGCCTGATGTCTCGATCTTGTCAAAATAATAATGGGGCTGTCATGGAGTCTACAAAGAAGACTAAATGTTTGACAAGATCAGCGGTGGTTCCATCACGTAAGGGCCATATACCGCAGACCATTGTGGGTACAACAAAGAAACAAACCATTTCCAGAGCGCCTCTTTCTGAAAAGAAGATCAATTGCAGTATGACTCCCGTATTGAAAGGAAGGTATGTTATGAAGGTTTCCCTTTGTACACTAAGTTATAGCTGAATCATTTGTTCCCTTTCCAGTAATGACTGTAGTTTCTGAAATATGTGCTATTTTTTTCTTTTTAAAGGAAGCTATTTGATGAAAAAAATAAATTGACCAAATCGAAGAAGGTACATGATCTCTTACTTTGTGCCGAGCATTTCATATATCCTGGATATTTTTGATTTAGTGAAAAGATGGAAAAAACACCACCTTATATGCTAGAGTACACATTTTTATGGGAAGCATTTTGCAAATTGAAGTAATCCGATTCCGAATATGGTTTTTCAACCTGAGTTTACCTTATTAATTTTAATGCAGGGAAGTTCAATCTCAGATATCGCATCGACCTCAGAAACTTCTGTAGATAAAGAGGTAAGGGTCTTTTATATTGTACTTTTGATTTTGTCTATATTTAGAATTTCAAGAAGTGAGAACACTTTTGGGGGAGTAATCTTGTATTCTTATTTATAGGCATTGCATCGTATTTTTGCAGGAAATGTCCGTTTCAAGTGTTACGGAAGTAGCAGAACCTTCAGTGGTATGTAACTCATCCTTCACAGTACTCCTGTATTGTATAATTTGTATTGCTATAGACAATCATTTGGAATCTTCGATTGACGTCACTGATGGTCTATGCAGGAGAATACGTTGTCAGATGCACTGAAACCCCTGGAACTTACTTCTATGGGTGAAAAGGTAACGTAGAAGTCTAGAAAAATATAGTAGGAGGATTTTGTTTTTATAAGATGTAAATGTTAAAGGTGTGATGGGTGTCAACTGACATTTTGCAGGATAATTTATCATCAGATGCTCCAAAGCATGCAGAATGCATTTTAATGGCAAAAAAGGTAATGGAAAGTTTCAACACAAAAGCATCATGAGTTGGAATTGTGGAGTACCTTCTTGATGGATTGTTCATATTGTTTCCAGGATGTTTCTTTTAATTCTGATGCTCGTACTGAGAAACATACTCCGGGTGTCAACAGCCGAGATGACTTCTCTTTACTTGAAGAAGGTTGGTTTCTTATGGTTTGAATCGGCAAACCTCATCTGCAAGATATTGGATGCAAATTGACCTAACAAATCCTAATTTGGTCTTTCAATTGACAGGTCATCATGTTGAAAAGGAAGGCAAGAACTCAGATGTCAATGATGAAAAATCGCCGCCAATAAGTTCAAGATTACAAGAATTATCAAACAATCTGAAAAACCTTCTTTCTGCAACTCCTGTGTGCAAAAAGATATCAGATGCATCAAAAACCGACTGTTCTGCAACTCCCTTGTGCATAAAGATGCGAGAGGAGAATGATGCTTCATCCAACAATGTAGAACCGAAAACTCCGGCTAATAAGGGTACGAAAGACAATAGATGTGAGGTTACAAATGTCAACAGCCCTTGGGAAGCGCTTAGTGTGCGTAATTCTGAAGTGAAGGTATGATCTATACCTTATCTTCATTCTGTTCATGTCTTCAATTTCGTTCCAAGTTCTAATGTTATACCGTCATTGCAGCATTCTCTTGTTCAAGAATATCTCGGCTTCTTAAATACAGCCAACAAGTAAGTATATATGCTTTTCGATCAGTAGTGTGCTTCGTATCCTTACTCTACAAGCCTAATCTTTTCTTCATTTTTACTCCTTATAGGGAAGAATTGAAAAGATTAAAGGTGAGGATCGGAACCTCTTTTTTATTATCATCGCTGTTCTCTAGCGTTTTTCGTTCTCAACTTATTTGAAATTTTACGTTTAGGGGATTGGTGAGAAGCGAGCAACCTACATCATGGAACTGCGCGATGAATCTCCGAAGCCCTTCAAGAATGTAAGTATTCTCAAATCCCACATCAGAGATTTTAAAGGAAAACAAAACTAGTAGAGGGGATGTAGTTATATAATGCTTTTAAGTTGGTTTCTAATCCGATGTTGTTTTCTTTGTTTTCAGCTTGATGATTTAGAAGAGATCGGACTTTCGGCTAAGCAGGTATATCTCGTCGATTTTGAGACTTGTATGGATCATTTGCTTAACATATGGAAGTATCGATGTGTTCGATTTGACGCTGGAATTTGTGTTTTGTTGCACAGATTAAGGGATTGATGAAGAAGGAATTTGGAGGGCTATTCAATTAGCGAATCTAAAATTCGGAGACGTCGGAGAATTTCTCTCCTCCTTGTAATTTATTTCCGTTTGGTCAGTTCTGTATCACAAGAACAGATATTGTCTTGTTGGCTGGCATTGGCAAACATATTGCCTTAAACCTTCATGTAATTCGTTTATCGTGTAATACTTTGTACTCTGTTTTCTTGATTCCGCAACGAAATTTCTAAGAGACAGAAAAGGAGGAAACACTGCACATTGTAATCGTACTCGAGCAATTGTTTCTTTACATCTAAAAAATAAACGAAGAAACAAATTCAAACAAATACAACTGAATTGATCCGAAAAGTAACTGATTTATCACCCGCTATAGTGAAGCAAGGCTTGCATTTCAGGTAGGAATCGTCTTACAGGCTTAATACTGTTTTGTGCATTGTTAGAAGCTTTCAGGAGTCGCCATGGCCAACATATGTGTCTCACCCTTCGGTTATTGCGCTCTCTGCTCTCTGCTTCTTCTACTTGCTTTGTTAGTTCTTCTATACGTGCCCGTAGTCCTGATGCCCTGCTATCGGCCAGCTGCAGGGACCTCTCTGCTGCTGCCTGCGCAGCCATAGCGGTCGCTGCAAGTTCTTCTTTCATCTTCAGTTTGCCATTTGATATGTCGAGAGCCGCCTTTGTCTTCTCCAATTCTTGCTTCAGAATGGCGATCTAACGAAATAGCATACCAAAGTGTGAGAGACTAAATTCAAGAACACCAGATAAGGAAATAAAGCGTAGAACTAAATCTTAGTAAACACGCAGTAGCAATTAGTAATGGGGAATAGAAATTTACCACTTTCTCACGTTCTCCAATCTCAGTTTTCCCAGCTTCAACTTCTAGCTCGCAAGCTTCTCTCCATCTAGCAACCTCTGCTTCACTTTCCTTTATTTCGATCATGAGTTCTTCAACCTACGACAATAAAATGACAAAAACAATTCAGCAAGAAGGTGAATACACATTAGGACCGCAAAGCAAACAAACAACGGATTTTTGTTATAGCCCATTACATTTTGAGTTAAAACCCTCTCTCTATTCTCTAACTCCTTGATGTACTGCGTGTTTTCCGAAATTTGTTGAGCTTGTTTTTCCGCGAGACTCTGCAAGCGCTCAGTGTCTGACCTGGCATAGAATTGATAATAAGTAATCGACAACTAAATCAACGATGCTCAACGTAAACAGTATGGCTATAGTACAAGTATGGTTAGAGAAGTGCTTTCAGAAACTCATATTCATAAAAAGCTTGAACTATTGACAACTTTTCATCACATAACATCAGGAATCATACTCAAACAGTTAACATTTCCCTGAACTAAACAATGTTCTCCTTTTTTTCTGAACCGTTTGTAAGAACTAAGAACTGCCATCATTTCGAAATCCAAATTCAGGTAAATAACACCGAAACAAAGCTTATATCTTCGATAGCTAACCTACCTCACAATCAAAATACCAATGCAAATTCAAATACGAACATAATTCAATGACGAACTACCTAGATTCATCCAGAGATCTTCTCAACTGAGTGATCTCAAGCCGCAGGTTCTTCATGATCTTCTCTACAGTCGAGGCCTGATACGAATAATCAAACACGAAAATACCAACGAGAAATCATAAATTAGCTCAAACAATCCATGACCGAAACAACGAAAAATTGAACTCACCAGACTGATGACCCCCTCTTCACAGTCACTGCCATCCGATTTACTTCCTGCAGTAGACCCTGCACCGTCCAGCTTATCCCCGGAACTCTCCGGCGACTGCTCATTGCCCCCACTTCCCATTATAAACCCAAACCCAACTCTCTGCAAAATAGGCACCCGCTTCTGCTCGCTTCCCTTCAACCTCTTCACCACCGCCTCCTTCTCCGCCAGAGCAACCCTTAGCAGGCTGCTGATATCTCTGTTCTCCTCCGTCAGACTCACCACGCTATTCTCCAACTCCTTCTTCTCCTTCTTCCTCAGCTCTTTATACTCACTCACCTGCGCCTCCGCCGAAGCTGTCAGCCGCGCAACCGCCGCAATCTCCTCATAAACCGCCCTCCACTCTGGGTCGGATTCCGATTCCGCACCGGTCCCCTCAGCTTCTTCAGTTCCATTCCCTACCTTTTCGTCGCCGACGCAGTCGATTATTCCGATTATACCCTCCTTGATCGATCGGAGCGAATCCAAGCACTTAAGCAAAAACCCATCTCTCTCTTTTCTCTCAAGCTCCAATCTTTCAATCGTCTCCCGACAAACTCGCACCTCGTTTTCAATCACCTCCTTCAATTTCAGCTCCTCCTCCAATTTCGAGTCAAACCCATCTTCCTTTTCTCTCAGACAACCTTCGAGCTTCTGAATTTCGTCGCGAAGCGACTCTCTCTCGCCGGAAATTTCTCCGACGACTTTGGTTAGCTCGTTGTTGCGAGCCAGGGCATCGTCTCTCTGCTGCCGGATGAGATCAGAGTCTTCATCCATCGCCACGGACTTCGATAGCAGGGCTTGGTGTGACTGGCGGAGGGACTCGAGCTCGGCGAGAAGACCATCTCCGGATGCGGAGGTTTCTGGGTTGTTCGGCGGATCTGGGCCGTTCACCTGGGTTTCTGGGAGTGTTTCTGTAGGGTTTTCCATGGTCCATAGAGCAGACGATAACTATGGATCGTCATGAAGTGCGTGACTGAGAGAGTTAAAGTTTCAGAACTACCAGTCAAAGAAGCGTAGATGGAGAAGGAGAGAAGCAAGTTTGTGCGAGTTTGCGTTTTGGCGCGGGACACTTTCTGATGGGCCAGAAAGGTTTGGGCTTTTCTCTGAAACTGGGCTGTTGCAATTGGGCTTTCTGTTGAGTTGACTTTTTTGCCCATGTGTTGGTCCGGATTTATCGCTACTTCCGTTGAATTGGACGAGTCCGGATCCTCTCCGGATCCCCAAAAACTGAGCACCCTGAGAAATCAATCAGGATCGTTGAAATTTAATCTAACGGCTATAATTATTATAACTTTAAATGAGCCTCCTGTTTGTAATCGTTGGATTAAATTTTAACGGTCCAAGATCATTGCTTAGATTGCTCAGTTTTTGAGGATCCGGTTCCGAATTGGAACCCGACGAATTGTAATAAGTTTATATGCACCAAAGGAAACGACACTTTCTAAAAACCAGTTTAAAAGTTAGTCATTTTTTCTTAAAATAACAAAACACGTAAAATAGGGGGTTGAATATTCCCAAATGACCCCTATCAAGCCTTAACTTAATAAAAGGACATTAAACCTGAATATTATAAGGGCCAATTTAGAAGTACATTTAAAATTATGAAAGCGTTTTTAGAGAAAATATTTTTAGTAAGTGCTCTTTGTCAATGGCGGAGCCACATTAAGGGCTACCCTGGGCTATAGCCCATGTAGCTTTATGTGAAAAATAAAATTTTGCATGTAATTTTTATTAATTTTCGAATGTAACCCATTATATATTTAGTCTTTGATCCGAATTTCTCGGTTTAGTTATATAATACATTTTACAAACAATCTCTTTTTCTTACATCATTTTTCTCATCGCTTCTTGTACATGTACAAGTTTGGATTTGTTTGAATTTTCACCTGTAACTGTTTAATAGCGAAAATTCTTGGCTCACATTGTGAAAATTTTCTTCAGCTAGCTGGTAATGTGAAAAATACAATATAAAGTTTCTTTGTTTATATATTTAGATCTTTAAGCTAGCTCACCCGATAAAAAATTTCTAGCTCTGCCATTGCTTTATACAAGAAGCACTAGTTATGTGTTTTTTTCAGATAAGCGTCCTAAGTGTTTTTTTAGGATTTACTTACTTTTTTACTAAGTTGGTTCTAAATACATTTTTACCACAAAGCGTTTTCAACCATTTTAAAATCACTTGCAAACAAACCCTAATACTTTAAAGTGGTTTTGCTGCCTAAAATATTTGATGTGTTGTTGCAGGTTGGACTTGGAGTCCTTATAAAATGTCTGATTTTTCATACCTGTTTTTATTGTATTATAATCAGGAGATGTTGAGTGCTTGATGTTATTGGCTTTTGCCTAATCCGTATTAACGTGCTAATCAAACGCGTGTATGGCGTAATGAAGGCAAGTCTTTTTCTTCCCTCGTAATCCTACTCACATGGACAAGACGAACGTCCAAAAGGAATAGGAATGTGATATCCACATACTCATTTTTATTTTTTTACATGTTTTTTTAGTTTACAACCGTCAGATCGGATAAATTGAAAAATGTCAAAAGACATAAATTAACAAAAGATATATGAGAAGTAAAAAAACGTGTGTAGATAGCATAACACAAAGAATAAAAAGATCGTAATTGCCATGCAAGTGCACTATAATTTAATTTTATTAAATTATCTCGTTGGTTTGACTTTTTTCTACTATTTGTCTATTAATCTAGAAAGATTGACATATTCCTACTTAATTTTCCCTTTTATGTTCTTACGTGCAAAAAATGTCCAAGTTTGCACGAATTCAAACTACTTTATAGTAAATAGATATTTGTTTTAATTATGAACTTTGATTTTCTTTTGGTATATTTAATCAAATGACGCGAAAAAAAATGTGCAAAAAAGATGCACATAAATTTTTATTTATTTTTTGCTATTTTTGGGTATTGCTGAATTATTTTTCTATAGTGCCAATTATTTCAAATTTTTTATGACAGAATGATATACTTTTTGTTTTCTAACAAAGTGGTATTCTTTTTTTTTTTTTTTTTTTTAAAGCAAAGATTTCATTGAAAGATAGTGGCTACAAACCAATTGCAACAAATAAGTCCAATAAAATTTGGGATAGTCAAATCCCAAACAACAAAAGGACATAATAGTAAAAATAAAAACAAACCTAATTCCTATTCCGCACAGGCAGAAATCCGCCGCTACTGTCGACACTACCACCTTGGCAACGGCCACATGGGCAGCTGCCGACGCCAGCCAGAGAAAAGAGTCGACGACAGGAAGATGGAACTCCGAGTTTGTGTGAGAGAGAAGAAAAAAAAGAGCGGTTGCTAGGGTTTGCGACGGTATTCTTAATTATCTTATATTTTTACAAACTAGTGTAAATAGCAAACACTTTGTTCAAACCAATTTACCTAACACATGTCTACTTACTTCAATCTTAAGCATCGAGTCCATTGACAAAAACTTTCCTTTATTCCATTAACTTTTCTACTTTAACTTTATATAAAAGGACACATTTATTAATTTTTCCTCCAAAAAAAAAATAAAAAAATAAAGGTGTAAGAATCTCAGCCCAACCCAAATAAGTAAAGCCGTTTTTGTCACGAAGCAGGCAAGACTAATCCTCCCACCGTACAAATTACCGCGTCTTTACGGGCTACAGTCACTCGGTCATGACTGAGTTTTGACTCACCGAGTTCAAAATCCCCCAAACCCGGGATTCGGAATTCCACGAGACTCGGTGGCGGTACTGTTCCGATGGGGAGCGTTGGAGAGGTCGGAGAAGGGCGGGTGTTGTCGGATGTGGAGGAGACTATATTTGTTGCTGTGGGGAAGGACGTGAAGCAGAGCGAAACGACGCTGGCTTGGGCGGTGAAGAACTTCGCCGGGAAGAGGATTTGCCTGCTACATGTTCACAAACCTTCTCTTCTACTGTCGATGTGTGAGTTCTTTACTCTGAAAGTTGAATTCGATCAATGTCTTTAGTGTTTTTGAGAAATTGACCTTAAATTGTGTTTGGCTGCTGAGAAAATCGAAAAGAAAATTTGAACTTCGAGGCAATTGTTTTCAATTTAGAGTTATAATTGTGATTTTTGGTACTATTTGCAGCAGAAGGGATCGGTTCTGCTAGTAAATTGAAACAAGGAGCAGTTAAGGTGTTACAGGTAGCTGAGAGGACGAAATTACGAAAGCTTCTAGATCAATACCGAATGATTCTCACCGGAGCGGGGGTAACGGCTCGCTTTTCATTGTTTTCATAGTTGTTTTGATAATCTACACTATAGATCGTGCACATTAGTATTCGAAATCTGAATTTCAAGTATAGGGAGAGCGTTATTTTCGTCTTAGGGTGCTTTCTTATGAATGCAGGTGGAGGCAAATGAATTATGGATGGAGATGGGAAATGTCGAAGAGGGGATTGTCGAAATAGTTGCTCGGCACCATATTAGATGGCTTGTCATGGGGGCAGCTGCAGATGAACATTATTCTGAGTATGCATCAGTGAATATACTTTTAATGATAATTTTTTTCTTTAGTCATGCTACTGTGTCGTTCTAGGATTCATACAGCTGACCCCACTTAGTGGCATTCTAGGAAGAAAACAATGCAAATGAATTATGAACGCAGTGGCGTTCTAGGATTCATACAGCCGACCCACTCAGTGAGACAAGGCTTTGTTGTAGTAGTCATGCTACTTTGTCGTTCCTAGTGCTATGTGGGTAAAATCAAAGAAACATATTCTATTGCTGGTAAATCTAATTTAATGATGAAGGGCGTGTGATCGGTAATGAGTTGAAAGACTTGTGAACATGCATATCATTTATGTTGACTGACTCATCCTTGCTGGGATTGCAGGAGATTGGCTGAGATAAAGTCCAGGAAAGCATTTTTCGTATGCCAAAAGGCAGCTAGTTCCTGTCATATTTGGTTTGTTTGTAAGGGGTACCTCATATATACAAGGTTTGGCACCTTTCACACCAACTCATGCATCGGCGGGTTTAAGTTTTTCTTAATGTATTGGCAGACTGGCTCATAACTGTTGTTTTCACCCAAGTAGCTTTCCCTGTTAAGTTCAAACTGTCAATTTTGTAACTTTGTTGCGTTGTCCTTATACGTACTATATTTAATTGCCACTTATATGAAGCACGTGAAAACAGGGGAGACAGAGAAGATGAATCTGAAATAGAAATTGCCCCTCCTCTGCTGCTGACGAATTGGGCTTTTGGAACAGAGCAACCAGAACACTTCAGATCAGAATCAACTGATTCGCTGAGAAATCTGGTAGCCTCACTACCCAGACTGTTTTTTTCTCCAATGAGAAATTCTGTTTGACTTTTCGCTCTAATGTGAGGTGGTACTAGACAAGTAACTTTGTTACAGAGCTCTGCAGATGCTGAGGAAGATACCAGCGAGTTGGAAGAAATATCAGGGAGGTCGACCCCGTTGATGATAGATGCGGTGAGAAAATTCATTCATTGGCACCCTTTGTATGCAAGTACATGGATGATTTTCATTACACATCATTTACTGCTTTGCTGAAATTGTACAAAATTCTTCCTAGAAAACCGCTTAGGTGTGCATGTTTATAGTTTCTGTTTTATGTCCTGAGTTTTGAGTTATGGGGAACATATTGGGGCAGATAAAGAGCTTCTTTTGTGCTCTGTCAGGCTTTAGTTGTGGCAAAAACTTCTTTTCAAGTCAGTGTGTGCTGTACTTTTCAAACCATTTGATTAGTCTTTAATTGCTTATCTTTACAGGAGGGAGAAGAAAATGGTGAAAGTTATCATAGCGTAGAACAAGCCATTGTGGATGCTAAGAACTTAAAACTGAAGGAATTTGAAGAGACAACTAGGCGGTGGAAAGAGGAAGATGATGCGGTGGAGGCTAAATGCAAGGTAAAATTTGGAATGGCATGAATTGCTCATGAGTTAAACTGATCTCATTTATTAGCCTGATCGTTTTCTAGATTGAATGCGTCAAACTTTGACCTTTTGGGTTTCTTTAGATGCTGGTATTTGTCTGCATGTGGTGTGCATTTGTGCAAGCATGCATATTTTGGTGATTTATGCATACCTACTAATAGCAGATACTGTCTCTCATTCTTCACCACAAAGTTTGTGTTGTCCATGCCTTCTTACAGGCCAAAGCATTTGAAAGTTTATGCACTAAGGAGATGAGCCAAAGAAAAGAGATGGAAGAAATGCTTGCTAGATTAAAGCAAGAAATAGACAGGGTGAAGGATGAGAGTGAGGAATCTATAAGACAACTCCCAATGGTTGAGGACAAGAAGTTAGTGCTGGAGAAACAACTAGAAGCGTCACAAAGTGAGGTCAAGGAGTTAGAGGAGAAAATCATCTCAGCTGCGGGGCTCTTGATAAGTTTCAGGGAAAAACGGGATAAAATGAAGATAGAGCATAGAAATGCAATGAGAAAAGTCAGACAGCTAGAGACAATGATAAATGGGGAAGCTGCAAGCTTTGATCAGGCAGAATTCCCTATCTTCTCTTTTATGGAGATCAACGAGGCAACTCACAACTTTGATCCGTCCTGGAAGATTAAAGAAGGAAGGCGCGGAAGTGTTTATAAAGGGATTCTTCGCCACATGCATGTTGCTATTAAGATGTTGCCTTCTTATGGTTCTAAAACTCAATTGGACTTCGAACATGAGGTAAATCTTATGTTATGTTTTCTACAGTATTTATGTGTTATTAGAAAACCAGTGAAACAGTTGTGAATTCATTATTTCGGTTCAATTCCATCAGGTAGAGGTCTTGAGCAGAGTGCGGCATCCAAACTTAGTAACACTAATTGGAACCTGTCCAGAATCCAGGTCAGTTGTATATGAGTACCTAAAGAATGGCTGCCTTGAAGACCTCCTTGCCTGCAAAGACAACACTCCGCCTCTTCCATGGCAAATTCGAACGTCCATTGCTACAGAGATATGCTCTGCCCTCATATTCCTTCACTCAAATATCCCCTGTCTTGTCCATGGGAACGTGAAACCCAGTAACATTCTCTTTGAAGCGAACTTTGTGAGCAAACTTATAAATTTGGGCATCAACTCTTTGATCCCACAGAACGAAAACCCGACCAACTTCACCAAAATACGTAGTGACCCAAATGGAGCTCATGTGTATATGGATCCAGAGTATCTTGAAACTGGAAAACTCACACCAGAATCAGATGTTTACTCATTCGGGATTATACTGTTGCAACTTTTAACTGCAAGTCCGCTTTCAGGAATAGTGAAGGATGTGAAATATGCATTAGAAAATGACAACTTCAAAGCATTGCTGGACGTTTCAGCCGGAGATTGGCCACTAGAGCAAGCAAAAGAGATGGCTTACATAGCACTGAGGTGCTGCGAGAACAAGCGCTTGGATCGGCTAGACCTATTGGTTGCCCACGAGGCAATGAGAGCTTCATACGCTGCCTCAGCAACGTGCTTGGTTTCCAAGAAGCTTATTCGGACACCATCCCATTTCGTCTGCCCCATTCTGCAGGTAACTTACGTCCATCGGACTCGAATTCCAATTTCTGTAGAATCACTAACTGAACACGATATGCGTTAATTTGCATTTGCAGGAAGTCATGCAAGATCCACACATTGCAGCAGATGGTTTCACATACGAAGAAGAAGCAATACGGGGATGGCTGAAAAGCGGCCACAACACGTCGCCGATGACAAATCTTGAGCTCGAACACTGCAATCTGGTCCCCAATTATGCCCTCCAGTATGCAATTCAACAGTGGCAACTACAGTTGTAAAAATTACTCGCATCTTTACTTCTTTTACTGTTTGTATACACAGTGATTATACCTGCCTGTAGCATCATTATCTTTAGAAAATGATTTTAGGCCAAAATTAATTACTGATTATACTTCAGAACCATGGAAATCGGAAGCTCGTAGTCTAATGATACTTTTTTATTATTTTCTCAACAGAGGAAAATGTTACAGGTTCGAATCTCGTTTATGCCTTTTGATTAAAAACTAACACAACATGAAAACTATAAGAAAGAAGAATCCTTATTTTGGTTACACGATCTAACTTAACTATAACTTATTTATTCGCTGCCATCATAATTTAACTAACTCCAAGGGCTCCAATGTCGTAATTTATCATTGACAAGGTTCTAAAAGTCGTTAGGCGCTAGTCGGGCGGCGGGTTGGGGCCTAGCGCTTAGGCGGCTAGGCGGGAGCCTAGGCGGACTAGGCGGATTTAAGTAAATCTATCATATTTCAGGTAAATAAGTGTCTGCTTCTACTTGAAATATATATAATTTCATCATAAACTACAAAATAGAATGCATATATATCAAGAAGTATTGGAACATAATGAAAACATGTGAAATAAGGATATAATGTTTGTTCATTCAAGTATGCAACAAGTCTCTTACAATTTATTGGAAAAAAATAAAATGCAAAATGAAAGTTATGTATTTTCTGTCTAAGTGAGTTGCAACCTAGGCCGGTCTAGGCGGGTGCCTAGGCGGGCTAGGTGGGTGCCTAGGTGGTCTAGGCGGTGGGCTGGGGCCTAGGCATTAATCGGGGCGGTGGGTTGGGGCCTAGCGCCTAGGCGGCGCTAGGCGGGGATTTTTAGAACAGTGATCATTGGTGTAAAAGAAATTCCTACTGTCATTCTACGAAAAAAATGGGAACAATATTTTTCAATTTTTGGTAGGAATAATGGAATAATTATATGGCTATTAGCAGGAAAGTGATTTTCGCGGTCTTGTTTTGTTAGTTTTTTATTTTTATTTTACGGTGTCAAATTAGGTTTGTTGTCTGATTGCACTCACAAAAATACCCGGATGTACTCTGGTGGTCAAACCCGACTCTACGCATCACACTCCATTTGTGAGATAGCTGCCGCACTAAAGTTTCGCTTTAAAATAAAGTGTGAAGATCACTATTCTCGATAATCTCAAGTTTTATCTTTCGAGCGAGACTGTGAAAATCACTATTTTCAATAATCTCAAGTCGAAAAAACAAGTAAAAAATCTGAAGTCCAATCTTTGTTGATGGGCTGGAAGCCCAATGTTATAATGAACTGAATTCTCCCAGTGAACCAACTTAGGGGTGTATTCAATTGGGATTTTGAGGGATTTTAATTCTTTTAATGAATCTAGTTGTATTTAATTAGGATTTTAAGTGATTATCTGAAATTTAATATGTATTCAATCAAGATTTTAAGATAGTTTATTAAAATCCTTAGAAATCCGGGTGTATTCAATTAGAATTTTAAAGAAGTTTATAACATTTCAGGTGTATTAAATTAGAATTTGAATTTAAAGAATTTGGAAAAGTTGAGGAATTAGAGGGAATTAGAGAGATTTTGTAGTGTATTTTAAGCATTCACAAATCTCACATCTTTCTATGAGATTTCGAGGGAATTGAATTAAAATTTTACATAGAATCTCTACAAATTCGTTAAACTCCATAAAAATCTATGAATTTATAAATTCATTAAAATCTCTCGAATTCCCAATTGAATACATCCCCTTAAAGAGAAATTTTTTATTATAACGGGAATACAAGTGATACACCACGTATTTTTATAAAAGTGGTGAAATTTTTTATTTTTTAAGTTATTAACTTTTTAGTACACATATCTCACTATTTATATGGTAACACGTGATGTACCATCTCGCGTACGGATCATATTGAAAATTTTCTTCAACTTAAGGGTTAAGGCTATCAATCTCTCAATTCCAAATGCTACCCCTTTTCACTCTCTCCCTCAGCGCGTGAAACAAACCCTACCATCCTCCTATCCTATGTCGTAATCTCAAATTTTATTTATTTAATATAAGAAAAATTAATGAAAAAAGATTGAAAACTTTGAGTTTTAATTATAAGGACAAAATAAATGAAGTAAATAATAATATGTTTAACTTTTTAGTGTAAAAATATGATTTTTCGTTAAAATGAACATAACCTTAGAATTTTCTTTAAAATTCCATTTAATATATTTATTTTCATTTATTTTATTTTATTTTTTCCTTTTACTGCAAAGGGTTCCCTTCCTTCTCTTCCATCTCTCGCCTTTATATTTTCTCCTTACGAACTCTCTCACTGTCTCCGTTCACCTTCGGCTTGTCAATTTCTTGCATTTTCTCGGCGATTTTCCTTCCCGCCAAACACTCCGAATCTCCCTCCCGCCTGCTCCGATTCCCGCAGATATCCCGACGTCCTCCCTGTTCTTGAACCGATCTCTGCTCGCGCCTCCACTGGTACGTAAACCGATTACTCCCTCACTTCCTTCTCACCCATATATATACACACACACATTTATACGTATAATATCATATATCGATCACAGATCACGTGTTTCCATACCTTTCCGAGCTTCTCCGAATTCTTGCTTTTTGAGTCTTGATTTTTTTTTTTTTCAATTGAATTGTTTCTCTGTATGATAGCTGGAAAAACTCTGTATCTGTGCAATGAACGAGAGAAAACCTAGAGATTTCGAATTATGTGTGTATACATTTATGTATGTATTTGTGGTGTATGTGAAATCGTTAATGATGGAATTTCAACTTAGCTAAGTGAGGTTTACAGTCGTCTCTGATCAAGTTTGATTATGCATGTTTATGATTTTAAGTTCCGGAATGCCGATTATTTGAGATTTATTGAAGTTTCCTTTCCTTTTAACATTGGTTTCGATTTCCCCTCATATGTTCATTCGCCTACTCTTGATTTCATTTCGATTTCGTTGTATGATTATGTTTCTATAACGAGGTATATGGATATATGTTCGTTGGATGCGGAGGCGGAGGCATTTTTCGCTATGCATTCTTTCTGGTGGATCTGTAATCCAGAATATGTTTAGGATATAGAATTTTGTAGGTTTTCACATTTTTTGTTACTTCCTATCTTGTAATGGTAGATTTTTCATCAGTTTTCATGTTATTCTTCATTGTTTAAACTATGGGTCTTTTCGTGGTTGTTTATGTGGTGAAAATAATTAAGTTACTCGAACTTTGTTTGTTGGCTGGATGTTCTAATTCCTCTTTGCATTACTAAGTTCGGTACAACACATGTCATATGATTGTGGCTTCTTTAATAATATCGCACATTGTCGGACTTATTAGATACATAACTTGTTTGGAAATAAATCTATTTAGCTGTCATGCAGATGAAACAGGATGCTTTTGTTCCCTGAGCTTGCATTCTATTGCTACATCCACTTTAGATGTGGTGTATTCGTGCCTCAATCCAGTTCAATTGAATGTCATTTAGTCATTAGATGTTTACCTTGTTTTTATTTGTCCTACATTTTTTGCAGAGACATCTGGTGGATTTGTATTTCTGATGTCAATTGCAAAACCTACGACCTCAGACTCTCTGTATGCTATGAAATCAGAGGAGGAAAATGATTCCCTTGACACTATCATTGGACAAGTTGCGAAAGAGCCATCTATTTCTTTCTCAAGGGCCGGGGATAGCCCAGTCCCGTGGATTCAGCTACTTCATGCCTTAGATCAACAAGGTACTGGAAACTAATTTGTATAAATACAACTTTGTTTGATTATAGAAGTAGTGAACCATTAGATTGAGCTTTGTGCCATACCTAATGGGGAGTATCCTGAGTTTGTTTTGCCTTTCTTGGTCCACTGCTACGGCCAATGGCGGTTTTAATATTCATATTATATGTCATAAGAAGGCAGTTTGGTTATAAGTGTTTGATGACACATGTTACTTCTGGCAGAACTTCCAGGTTGGCCCCTGCACTCTCCTATTAAAGTGCAGATGCAAAAGTGTGACAAATGCCCACGAGAGTTTTGCTCATCCATCAACTACAGAAGACACATACGTGTACGCCATCGGTTGAAAAAGCTTGATAAGGTGTCCCATCTATTTTAAACTGTTATAAATTTGTCTATTGTTTTTCTGTGTGTTGCGACTGTGAGCATCTTTTGCCGTCCATCGTGTTCAAAATACTTATTTTGTTTAAATCTTGTAGGATTCTTCTAAAAATAGGGAGCTTCTACGTGAATTTTGGGACAAGGTACAATTTATTCTTTGAATACTTTACGTTAGGGATACCTTCTTCTTAGTGTATGTGCAGCTTAATCCTTACATGGTTTGGTGTTTGTCTAGCTCTCGCCAGAAGAGGCAAAAGAAGCTGTATCATTCAATAATGTGACTTTGGAGGTATTTTCTGTTACTTGCCTGTGTTTTTATGGCATGCATCATAAGTTATAATCATGTACCGCGGTATGCATGTGGTGTAATTTAAGTGACAAATTTTCCCCCTCTTATGCCTAGATTGATCACAGATGAACCAAAGTAGGACAGTAATGTGTTTTTATCCCAACTGATCATAGTTTTGAATTGACCAAGATTTGTTCTTTGCGCCTTCCTCCAGTTAATTTCTAGTGGGCTTCATTTTTTCCAAAGTCATTATATTTTTTGTTAAATTGTTACTTAAGTGCAATCATTTGAAAGGAACTGTTTTTAAAAGAGATCTCCTAATTTAATATATTTTCTAGGAAGTTCCAGGGTCTTCAATTATAAAGGCATTGACAATACTTATAAGGAAACCGGGATTTTCTTCTTTGCCTCACGTTTGTTTGAAGGCTGGTCCTGCCCTTCTGGTAAGACATTATGCTTTTTCTTGTGTATGAGTTTTTATTGTAATGAACTGCCACATTGCCTGTTCAGTGGATATGATATGTTTGATTCTTTTCTTTTTATCCAGGATATTGTTCAAGCTAGACCTTCCAGATTTCCCATATCATCCCAGGAGTTATTCTCTATCCTCGATGATGCAAGTGAAAAGACGTTTCTGTGTGGGACAGCCATATCAATGCAGAGATATGTTTTTGATGGAGAGGCTGGGAAAATTGGCCTTGAATCAAAAAACTTAGTTGCTTGTACAAGCTTCCTGGTGGAACAGATATTGGTAAGTTTCTGGTTTCTTTTCCATCTTTTAATATGGTTGATTTTACTCTCTTTTTCGCGTTTAAATTCGTGGTGATTTTTTGCTCAGTTGAAAGCCTGGCATGCTGACAAGGATGCGGAAGCTTTGAGGTTACAGAAGTTGCTAGTGGAGGAAGAAGAAGCTGCTCAAAGAAGGTACACAACAAGCCTTTCTATTTGATTTTCAGCACATTTCAGTTTTTCAATTGTGTCGGTGGGAAGATTTTCAGTGCCTCTTTAAACTCGGCACTCTGTAGAGTATAGACCAGCATGACTGGGTAATCTGTTGCCTGTTGTTTTTTTATCAGTTGCATAATCTATTCGGTCTTATTTTCTGAATAACTGTAGGCAAGAAGAGCTCTTGGAAAGGAAAAGGCAGAAGAAGCTTAGGCAGAAAGAACAGAAGGAAAAGGATCAAGGACATGGGGAGAAGGTTGATGTTAAGGAGAACATTGATGAAACTCTGGAGGCTGTGCCACTCGTAGAAACATCTAGTCCTTCAGCAACATTTGATTCTGACACGGCCAGTTCGGATGTGCTGGATCATGTCTGCTTATCACTTGAACCATTCCATTTCTCAAATACGGATGAAAATGCAGATCTCGAATCTCAGACTGGAGTTAGCGTTGGACATGTTGATTCGGCGAGTGGACCAAATGTTGAACGGCGGGTGGTGCAAGGAAATGGTAGTCGGCGTGCAGTTGCTCGATGGCACATGTCTCCAAAATCACAGCGGTGTGTGCCCAATGGATTTCATGGAGGCCATAGTTCTCAAACAGCGAAGCATTCATCCATACACCACCACGGTAACCACAGGGATGTAAGGGCTGCTTCCAGTGGCAATAGAGTATGGAGTCGAAAGCCCAAACCAGAATATGATGGGGGGAGTTTGAAAGCTGGAGTACAGGAAGAAGCATCTGAACCAGATCAAATCAAGAACCATGAGGTTTTGATTGGTTCTATACCAGTCAATCTTGGAAATTTTTGCCAGGAAAGTAATAATCTGGCTGGTGTTCATGATGACTGTCTTTCGGAGAAAGGTCAAATGCTAAAGGACAATCTTCAGGATAAAACCAATAAACCTGATCTGGTACAGAGTGGCACAAACCGGTCAACAGTGAAGCTTTGGAGGCCAGTGAGCCGGAATGGAACAAAAGGTCCTACGCCAATTCAGAATGGCAGCAAAGAATCTGACATAAATGTGGTAGCTGAAAAGGGCAACAGCCAAAGCCCTTACAGTGAAAATTGTAAAAGATCGTGTGTTGTGGATGGCCATAATGATGGAAACGGGAACGGCTCTACTCACCCCGATGAAACACAAAGCCTGGGCTTCTGTAGCCGTGCGGCAGAAGATTTTCTTGCACAGAGTGAGTTCAGCTCCATTTTGTATCTTGTTCTATTTTCTCTTTTGTACAAGCAGCTCCCGGTTAAAGTTAATTAACCCTGAAATACAATACAATAAGGACACGTCTTGTTTGTGCAGGATGGAAGGAGGCTATTGCTGCAGATCATGTGGAATTGGTTCTATTCCAAGACTCCGAACCTCCCAGATGCCCAGACAATCAAAATGACGGTGAAGTAGGAGCGAATCATTTGTTGAAGTCTAAACACAGCATTCTTGGCAATGCGGAAAACAGGCTTGTAGATGGGGAGGCATTTGATTTGCCAACTGCTGGAGCTGCTAAAGTCAGGCGCAGGACGAAGCATGACAAGGGTGTGAAGGTTAAGTACATTCCGAAACATAGCACAGTTGCCTAGTAATAGAGGGTAAAGAGATCGTTTTTCTTCTTTTTTTTGGGGGTTATACAGCATGCACAGTTTAGCCAATGATTGTATTCTTAGCAGCAGAAGGGTCCAGTTTTACCAGCGGTCTTCTGTCAGAAAATCGAAGAAAAAGTTTTGGAAGATAAGTTTTTTTTTTGGTTATAGTTCCCTCTTCTCTTTGTCATAGCAGATTGATTAGAGTAAGATTTTTCTTCTCTTTGGCAGAAGTTTCTGTAATGAATTTGGTTCTTTGGTTTGAGCCGTCATTGTCCGTTGCTATGCATTGTTTGTACCGTCTTGATGACATCATCAATGAGCCCGACAGACCAAACGAGTTGGTTTCTGGACAGGCGTTTCGTTTGTGAAGGTTGCATTTGTGATGTCGTTTCAGGTTACAGTATTTGAAGTTGTAAAGGGTGATATTTTTTGATCAAATTCGATTGTGTAAACTTTCCAATCGACTGAATTTCCTCTATTTTCGGGCTAGCACATGGGCTACAGGTGACCAATTTCCATGGGCCAAGCCACTTGGCCCGGAAGATTGCGCCTCCACGGCCCCTCTTCCTGCACACCTATTAATCTTGGTTTTTGGTTTTCAGCTTAACGAGAAATCATATTAGTCACCACCAAGTAATCACAATGTCACGTGTTAATCTAACTATACATGATCTTGTGTTATTGAACCGAGACGTTACAGTAGTCGTGTATCCGGTCCAACAATATCCTTCTGGTACTAATGTATATTACAACAAATTTTGTTTTTATGATTAACAGTGCTGGCATGCTCAAGATTTTCTTTTTCATTACGTTGAAAATCGATTTTACTATATAGACGTTTATAACCTCCTCCTCCATTCCATGTAATTATAATCTTTACCATAACATTGCCATTCATAAATCAAATTATTTCGTGGATTGGATTTCACTTGACTGTCTACGGCTGAGCCACTTTGACTTGGACAAAAGTATTTAAGATATAAAATCATGTCCACTCCCTCTCCTGTCACCAAAACCTGTTTCCTGAAATCCCTATTAGACTGCCACCTGTCCGCCCTCCCCACCTTATGCTTTACCCTATCTTCTTCCTTTTCTCCCCATCTCTTCCTCTTTAACGCTCTGTCTAATCTTCTCCACTCTCTCACAACTCTCTCTCTCATCAACTCTGCTTTCTCTGCAACCAAACCCTAACCCTAACCCTACTCGGTTTAATCAACAGAAACACAGAAAAAAAATGTCAGGTGGGGTTGGTCCAACCTGCAGTGACATCAGCCTCCCCAAAGAACAAGAGCATGAATTCAAAGAACACAACGACGAAACCTCCTCAAAACTCAGCTCCCACCAAAAGTCCCCAACTTCACACTCCACCGCCACCGCCTCTCCGCGCAAAGCCGGTGGCGGTCTGTTCTCCTTCCGGCAGCTCAACGCCCTCGCCGTCGTCGTCGTCCTCTCCGCCAGCGGCATGGTAAGCCCCCAAGACTTCGCCTTCGTCGTCTTCTCCGTGATCTACATGCACTTCATCTCCAAAGTTGCTTTCCCCATCCTCGGTTCCTCCAGAGACCCCACGGTTTTCAACCCCCAAAACAAAGTCCTCCGCCTCTACGTCCTAACCGGCGCTATCATCGGCCTCCTGCTCCCCATTGCCTACATTTTGGAGGGAATTTTCGAAGGCGATAAACAAGGCATCAGCGCCGCTTCCCCGCACGTTTTTCTCCTTGCCAGTCAGGTGTTCATGGAAGGAATGGCTTTTGCCGACCGGTTTTCGACTCCCATACGTGTTTTCGTGCCGGTTTTCTACAATTCCAGGCGGATTTTCACCATTGTGGAGTGGCTGAAGAGCGAGTTTTCTAAGGAGCATGAGGAGTACGGTGGATCTGCAAAAAGATTGTATGTGGGGAGAGGGCTTGCTATTGCTAATATGGCGTTTTGGTGCTTCAATTTATTTGGGTTCTTGCTGCCTGTCTATCTTCCTAGGGCTTTCAAGAAGTACTACTCCGCCCATAAACTGAAAGATTATTGATCTTCAGTGTACTAATTTCTTCTTCTTTGTTTTCCTTTTCGTTTCTTAATGTCCAAAAGAAAAATAAATGAATAAAAGATCTGCATATAATGTGAATTTGATTAGAGAAGAATCTGAATTTAATGAATACTACTTGTCTCTTTCTTTTTAAAAATGGGGAACATCTATGACTTCGACACGGCAGTCCACCCATTTAGGGTCAGAAGACGACATTTCAGACTTCTCCTAATCATTATCTTGTGGTTCATCAGCGTCAGAAATCGAACTTACAACGTGCTGTTTGGAATATTCTTTTAATCACTATCGTGAAATTCACTAACATCAGAAATCGAACTCAGAACATTTTGGAATACAGGCCTGAAATTTGTTCTAACCACTTGAAAAGGGCATTGGTGCGTAAATGTTTTTTATAACGTCACCAAAAGAAGAAAAACCATGCATCAATTTCTAAGGTCTCCTGTTCACAACCTTATATATGAGAAACTGATTTCACGAAGTCGTTTCATGAAACGAGTGCATGCAAGTTTTTCACAATCATTGAATCCGCTCCGTGAACCTAAGATGATATATGGCTTTCCAACATATTCAAAACGACCATATTGTACAAGGTTTTTGAAATAACCTTTATTTTTCATTTCAATTTCATTACATCAACTGAAAGCACTTGCAACTTCTTGCAAGACTCTCCAAAAGCCAAATGGGGCCTGTATATGAAATGAAAAAGAAAAGGTACATCTGCAAAATTCGGCATCGTTTCAAGAAAGTCCAGGAGGCGGCCGCCATCGATGGCGGCTCAAGGAAAAAAACAGAGCAAAGTCTGCTCCTCATGAATAACCACAAAAGAGAACATAAACCAATGAGGAAAACTATGCTCCCTAATGTAGCCTCTGAGTTCCTCATTCTTTTTTTTTTTTTTGACATCTGTTCGCTTCCTTTCTTCGAAATGGTAGATGCCCACAGAACGAAAAATGCATTTGGTGATGGAAAAATCAAACAAATATACTCACATGCCGGCAACACCAAAAACACTGCTCTCTCTCTTCTAAGCTTGTGCAGCAGCGAACCCCATCGGTAGCATCTGTTCCAATCACTCAAGCTGCTGGACATTCTGATTAAATAGCGCTCTCTAGTAGATCATTATCTCCTGTCCAAACCTGCAAATCACCCGGTAACTTTGTCAGTCTAACCAATTTGCACTCAATCTAGTCTCCCACTCACTCAATCACTCTTGATATCAGAGGATGTATTGGGACATACTTGTACATCCACGTGCAGAGCCATTGCCGTTTATATTTATTGGTGCAAGTCTCCTCTCTTGACCTAAAGATAAAATTTCCTGCATCCTTTCTGGCCAATCCGAATTTAATCTTCGTGCAAAATCCTCCACTTCCCTACATAAAGCATACAATATAAAGGAATATAAGACAAACAGTCTTGCAATAATCATAAAAATCTGTAGATTCGACTGAGTAACCGTGGAAGGGGATATTTAACAGGGGCAGAGAATAATTTCCGTGTATGTTGAGACAATGGTTATCATAATTCATATAGACAGTTAAATATTAGCATTGTGATCATTCTTTTTAATATGCTCTACAAATATTACCTGTCAAGCTCTTCCTTCATGGCAGGATCTAAATCATCATCCAAATCACCATCATCAAAGTCAAGCTTTGGTGAAAAGGTAACAGATGTAGAATCTTGCAACTTTGAAGAACTGGGAGACAACAACTCAACATTGATTGTGTCACCATCGTGGGAAGCAGAAGAAAGTGTATCCAAGTCCTAGAAATGTAGACAAAGACAGAGAATTCACAAACAAGTTCTAACACATGCAGGAAAAATTCACTAGCATACTAATACACGAACATACACAAGTGTGTGCTGTGGTGAGCGAGAGAGAAGAACCAACCTTATTATGTCCATTTACATTGGTTGAAGAATCTTTTGGATGATCTTTTCTTCTTCGATTCTTCTTTTTATTCTTATTGGTCTTAATCCCCTTTGCTTCTGCATAGTGTATCAGATTCTAGTAGGTTGAGAGTAGATAACGATTAACAACATAGGTCTATCAAATACAACTTTCATTTGACAAGAGATAGTAGTACAGAGAGTAAAAAATCTTGAATACTTCATTAAGTATCCATGATACTGAATCTACTGACAGAAGTACCTATTAAAAACTATGTAACTGAATCCACTGATTGAAGTACCTATCAAAAACTATGTAAACCCAAAAAAAATTCTGCTCCTTGTCCATGGAGCAAAAGTAGGGATGCCGATAACGTTCAACAGAGTGGTCCTTTGGAAGCAAAATCAATTAAAAAAAAATTATCTATTAAGAATTTGAGAGCCAACCATACTACAACTTCAAACAGCAAAAGTTAGAAAAAAAATCAATGTGTGAGAACAAAGGCAGAAAACCAGGATAAAGAGAAATAATTTCTGAATCATACGTCTATTTCCACCATTTATAAATGTCAAGAGATCGTCAACTGAACGCTCATCGACACGCTCCTCCTCAGCCTCAACATTCTGAAACAAATAAATAACTTTCTATTAATGCGATCATATATGCACAGGCTTTAATGCTTCAAGCCTCCAACTGCATCATTACATGTGTGTACTTTGCACAGAACTCAAGTAATAAACATTGTGACATATAAATTTACCACATGTATTGCATTAAACATATGGTAAAGGCTTCAAACTCTTCAAGTAAAAGTAAGCACCTTCAGTTTCTCTCTCTCTTTTAATTCTTTCCTCTTTCTAGCATATAACCGATTGAGAAGCCGGATACGTGGATCATCAGTTATGTTTCTCAGAGGTTCCAACTTCTCCTCCTGGATTGAACCATTTATACATGAAAACCATGGATGGAAGAAAAAAAGCCAATAACTTTCGATAGTAACAAACCTCTGTGAGGTCATCAGGTAAATGAAATGTCTCACGTATCTCCTCGGGTGTTTTTCCTTCAATAATTCGAGCAAGTGCTCGGCTGGTGAGATCAACCAAAGGCTTCAATTGGAGGCTGTCAGCAGCAGATGTCAACTCGCATAACTTTTTTGTATCCATTCGAATAAATTTCTCATCAAAAGTTTTGCGCTCCTACACATGATAACAATACTATCAAACACATAAATTACTTCTGACTTCACCATATACATGATGAAGATGGATAAAAGACTATCAAAACCACCCCTTTTTGGGCCACATAAGGGGTAACAATACTTTCTCCAAGTTTTTTACATAAGCTTCTCACTGTTGATTGCCAATTGGAAATTAACATCATGTATGAACAGAAAAACAAACTACAAGTGGTAGAATCATATATCAGACCTTATTAGAGCGACCGGGTACTTGATGAAACCGACAGTAGTCAAGTATTAAGCCCAAAATGGCAGGATTAACTCGTTGAGGAAGTGATATAGCATAGTTTTTGGAAGATCCCATTCCTGTTTGCAATATTTCCCGGCATATCATCGGACAGAACATGGCAACCTCTTCTTCTACTTGTTGGATTGAGCCGTCGGCAGTTTGAAGCCAGATGTAAGATTTCATCTATTTGCACAAACATAAGGAAAATTTAGGAGGGATTCAAAAGAGAAACACAACTAGTACTCCTATATCAATCTTAGCTTGAACTACAACATATACAACCCACAGAACCAATAACCCTAGGTGCAGCAGTCCTAGTCACTAGCTTATATTTCATTTCTACACTGCTGAACCCTTCAATAATTAAAATACAAATTTCCTAACATGAAATACCACTTGAAGACAAAACTTATTCCGACCATTATGCACAAGCCCTGGCTACCAAAGAAACTACAATTCTCCATAGATTCCACCAAGAGTTCATCCAGAAACAAACTAATTCTTTTACTATGAATCTATACTATACCTATACATTTCCCATCATACTCAAGTGACAAAGGATCCTTAAATATACATGTGCTGCTGAAATCATAAACTGTGAAAACAAAATGTAAATAATCTAACCTATCTAAATTACGATTTGTAATTCATCACACAATGAAGTAGCATACCTCAGGTTTGACAACCGCCATGACACCTTCTGACATTTGACAGTGACACCACAACTAACTTTCAGAAGAGGTGAACCAGAAACCACCTTTTACCTCCACTAAAACAAGGAGTTACAGGGAAAATGGACCTTTTCCTTATTCAAAAGCTTGACTTGATTAACTAAGCACAAAATAGTTGTCAGTGCTTCCCAAAATGATACGATCTTGAATCCCAACAAAATGTGTATTAGCATTCTTATTTGGAGAGCTTTATCAAATATTTTTCCTGTATTCAAGGTAAAACACAATAAGATATGGGGAACAAACAAGAGATGATAGGCCTCAAATTTCAAGACAACCGTTCTCATTAAATATTTATTCTAATTCAACTATAACAGTTAACAGCGGTAACTGTAATATAACAAGAAAATGAGGAAGTATATTTATGGAGGATTTCACTGAAGCTTCTCAATATCTTTGTGCGCACAAATGGGAAAGAAAAATGAGAAAAGATTACAATGCATGAGTGATATTGACGAGCAGATAGACTGGTTGTTACCTAAGGGAGCAGATCGGCTTGGCCACGACAGTATGTTCCAATTGTATTGGTTTTCACTTGTTCTTATTCTTTATACCCTTAAATTCTCATACAACATACAAATTATGAATAGCCCATCTAGAACCATCTAGGAGGTTGGGAAAGTTGAGAAAAACTAAGTTTCACACTAGCAGCACAAAGCTCAATACTCCACACCAGACGAACATATTAAAGATTCAATGATAGATACAATACAAAATAGCACGTAATATGCATAAACCAGCAGTCAGAACTCAATGTAGCATTCGAGTCTGCCAAAAGAAACAACGGGGCAATATGTGCAAAGGACACAACTTGGAAGCCCATCTATTGAGTTCTTCAATCTCCATGACCCCAAATGAAATAAGGACGAAAAGAGAAAAGTGTAATGCAAC